AAGAAATATAGAGAGGAAATCAGAATTCCGTACTATATTAGAATATCTTTCGCATCTCCAGTTAACAGGATAAAATAGCAGGATTAGAAAGTGACCATCAGTCAGAGCGGACAATGTTAGAATATATTTTGGCTAGATAATCAAAAATGATCTGGTAAAAGATAGTATAGCATCTTCAGAATGCAGGTCCATATTTGCATTAAATCTCTCTCTCTCTCTCTCCCTCCCTCCCTCTCCCTCCCTTTCTCATCTGTCTATCAAATTTATACACTGCCCAGCTCACCTGACTGATTCTGGGTGGTTTATTATATATATCATCTCCAGTCTCAAAAAAGCTAAATTAAATCCTACATTATTGATACTTGAAACTTTGCTGTTATTTTTCACTAAGGTATTTAGGATGCTAAATCCACACCGTGTTTCTATGATTGTCATAGAATTCTCAGACGCACATCATTCTGTTCTCTCTCAAAGAGAACAGAATGATGTGCATCATTGCGTGGAACCTCCATGTAACCTCCCAATTTATGTTCCCCTTCCTATGTCCATTTAGGCATGTAAAAGGGCGTGTTCTTGTGGCTCTGGCAGACGGGACCCTTGCCATATTCCATCGGGGAGAAGGTAAGAGTCAGTTGCTATAAATGATACCCAGTTGCTGAAAATGACTGGAAACAGTAATTGATTAGGATTAATTACTTCTGGGAGGCACTTGTAAAAATTACCTTGTCTCATGGCCACTTAACTCTGCAATTGGCAGAATCTGGCAGACAGGAAACATTGTGGTGTGTTCCATAGAAATTTGGGATACGTATGCTCATATTTAGAGCTTCGGTTATTAACCTTGGCCTAGATCGGATTATGCTTCCAGGGTTCAGAGCATGGAATAGTGGCCTTAAGTTACAAGAAAACAGATTCCAATTCAGTTGTATTAAAAAATTTCATACTATCTGAGTGGTTCGGTTGTAGAACCAATTACCTCCTTTGCTGGACCAGGGGCTGGAGAAGCATGTGTTAGAGATGCTTTAATGAAGACTCCTAAAGCCAAGGTTGGATCCAGTCACCCAAATGGACTCTTTCGATTCAGTGGTTGTGTAATTCTTAACAAAGAAATGCTTGATTCCTCAAGAGGACGCCAGTATCAAAACAGCTCTTCCTCTTTTCTCCCCTCCCAACCTCTTTCCATTTTCCTCCAGATGGTCAATGGGATCTCAGCAACTACCATCTCATGGATCTAGGCCACACCCATCACTCCATTCGCTGCATGGCTGTGGTATACGACCGAGTGTGGTGTGGCTATAAGAACAAAATTCATGTCATCCAGCCAAAGACAATGCAGATTGAGGTACCAGGAGTATCTGATCAGGATTACTTTTAAGCAAGACAGCTGAGATGATTATTAGAAAAGCTATCATTTTAGAATGTTGTGGCTGATGCTTGAGGTTGTGATGTGCTGGTGGACATAACAGGAAACCTAAGAAAGTTAGGTTTGTAACTCTCATAAAATCTTCCTTCCTTCATGGTTTTCCAGAAGTCCTTTGACGCCCATCCTCGCCGGGAGAGCCAGATCCGGCAGCTGGCCTGGATTGGAGATGGGGTTTGGGTTTCCATCCGTCTGGACTCCACCCTACGCCTCTATCATGCCCACACTCATCAACATCTTCAGGATGTGGATATTGAGCCTTATGTCAGCAAAATGTTAGGTAAATTGAAATGGCATTGGAAGCATCCATCCTTTGGAATCCTTTTAATTCTTTGTCCTTGCTGCTCTGTGTACTTAGCGCTGCCTCACACAACATTGTCCTTCTATGGTCCTTGAAGTCCCTAAGGAGCTTGGGTTAAACAGCTGTGGGGCCCAAGTAACCAGGAACAAGAGTTGAGTTCAAAGCAGTAAAAGTTTATTCCATGCTACTTATACGCAGGAATCTGACCTACTAATGGTCAAGGCAAATTGGCGATAAATCAAAGTCAATGGAATTCACATTGCAGGGCTTAGGACTGGTCTCTTGTGGCTATGTAAGGATTCCAAACTAATGATGTGTTTGACCCCGCCCTCCAGCTCCGTCTGATGATCTCCTAAAGGAGCTGGCTGATTTGCCACAGTTTGTTGGTAGATCTTCCTGGAACTTGTTGGGGTTTGCTTGCACAATACCAACCGATGTTCATGTCGCTCTTCTATTCAGGGACTGGAAAATTAGGTTTCTCCTTTGTGCGGATCACAGCTTTACTCATCGCTGGCAATCGCCTGTGGGTCGGCACGGGCAACGGAGTGGTCATTTCTATCCCTTTGACCGAGAGTAAGTGCCCGACGCTTTCATGTTTTCACTTATTTCCTCTGTTGTGTAAAGAAACGGCAGGATCTTCTCTAATGCATTTCATTCTGTCTGTGGGGGGGAAAAAAAATGACTTACCTTAAAATGATACGCGTTTCTGCCAAGATTCCCTTTTAGCTGTTCTCCCAATAACCACTTTTTTTTCTTCTTTTCCCCAATCTGTCCTTTTTCTCTCTCCTCTGCGTTAGCTGTAGTCCTTCACCGAGGTCAACTTCTTGGGCTCAGGGGTAAGTGCTAAACCAACAAGGGATTTGTAGGTTCAGATGTTAAATGAGCGGATGTTTCCGCTCATTTTTCTGTCGGTTGATTCGTCTGCTCGCGTGTCTTCTTTGGACCATTTATTCATCCCCACCTCCTTTCACACAAAAATTGCAGGGAAATGGAACAGCAGAAATAGCGGGGTGAATCAGGTCAGTGGGTGACATGGATGGGGATGATTATAGCCCACACTGCCTGAAGATTAGGATGGTGAGATTAGGAGATTGTCCGTAATATTTGGTAATTTCCCTTTCATTGTCTTTGAGCAATTGTTACAGGCAGTCCTCACTTAATGGCCTGTTGCCGGGTTGACAGGCTGCCCCCCCAAAGGTACTTATGACCACTTGATTTTGAAGTGCAGATGGCTGCACCCACGTACTCTCGTGGTCATTGAGCCAATCCAACTTTCCTTGTGGGAAACCGGGAAGGTCACAAATGGTGATCACATGATCCTGGGATGCTGCAAATGTTCTTAAAAAAAAAAAACCAGTTGCTAAACGCCCAAATTTTGATCATGTGACTACGGGGATGCTGTGACAGTCCTAAGTGCAAAGACTGATCATAAGTCACATTTTTTCAATGCTATTGTAACTTTGGTCCCTAAATGAATGGCTGTATGTTGAGGACTGTCTGTATTGCTTGTCCTTGAGTCAATTGGGTTTCCTCACAGATATCAATCTAGAAAAGAATGCAGTTGTCCTGAATGTGATGCAGCCCCTTCTAAATAAGCCATATCTCTTTGAGGCTTAATGCCAGCCTTTCTCCTGGCATTAAACCAGGAGTGTCCAGCTTTGGAAACTTTAGAGCTTGTGGACTTCAAGTCCCAGAATTCCCCAGCCAGCCATGCTGGAATTCTGGGAGCCAAAGTCCACAAATCTTAAAGGTTGCCAAGATTGGACCCCTCTCCATTAACCTCTTTGGAGCTTCCTAGAGAGAGAGAATTCACAAAACTAGATTTCCCAGATGCCCTGTGAAATGAAGCTCTGAATCAATCAGTTTTATGCCTGCAATGGGGAGATAACCATCCATCTTCTTCCATCTCGCTTGTTGACTTCTGTTTCTCTTCCTTTGGTCTCAGCTAACAAGACCTCGCCAACATCTGGAGAAGGGAACCGCCCTGGAGGTATCATCCATGTCTACGGTGGAGATGACGGCAATGACAAGTCCACCAGTAGCTTCATCCCCTATTGTTCTATGGCGCAAGCCCAGCTCTGTTTCCATGGACACCGTGATGCAGTCAAGTTCTTTGTCTCCGTGCCTGGTCAGTAGAATAGCTCTCGGTCTTTATATGGACAACTGCAACACCAACTTTCCCCAAGCAATTTGTGTTCCATGTATACAGGTCTCAAAATATGAGTAGCTTTCTGGAAAGACCTTACTGCATGCTCAGTCTGAAAGATTTTTACATTGATACACAGAACCCTGGTAATCTGTGAACTAGATATGTTTTTAAGTGTCCTGCAAAAAAGGGAACAGATACTACATTTGACCTTAGCCAAAAGCAACCTAGAACTAAGGAGAAACTTCCTGACAGTTAGAACAATCAACCAGTGGAACAACCTGCCTCCAGAAGCGGTGAATGCTCCAACACTGGAAATTTTTAAGAAGAGACTGGACAGCCATTTGTCCGAAATGGTATAGGATTTCCTGCCTGAGCAGGGAGTTGGACTAGATGACCTCCAAGGTCCCTTCCAACTTTATTATTATTATTATTATAAAATGCTGAAAAACAAAGTTTTTATTTATATTTTATACTTATTAATGTTTTAGATGTATCACCTGGGTATTGACATAGTAATAGAGAAGGGAATGTTATAGTGTGTGATTTATCTTGCTAGCTATTAGTATATTATTATATTTATTTGCCCTCCCTCTTTTTGTGACTCCCTCTTCTTTGGGGCAGCCCCTCAGATATTGGAAGGCTGCTATCATGTCCCCCCTCGTCCTTCTCTTCATTAAACTGGACATACCCAATCCCAGCAACCGTTCCTTATGTGTTTTAGCCTCCAGTCCCCTAATCATCTTTGTTGCTCTTCTCTGCACTCTTTCTAGAGTCTCGACATCTTTTTGACATTGTGGTGACCAAAACTGGATGCAGTATTCCAAGTGTGGCCTTACCAAGGCCTTGTAAAGTGGTATTAACACTTCACGTGATCTTGATTCTCTCCCTCTGTTAATATTTCCATGTCAATCCTGTTTCGCTTTGCTTCGAGCTGCTCTTCCAAAGCCTTACCCTCTTCTTGAAAGGTTGGGGTGGAGCTGCTACTAACCAGCTACTACGTCCTTCTAGGAAATGTCCTTGCCACTTTGAATGGGAGTGTCCTGGATAGTCCTTCAGAGAACCCCAGCACAGATGCCGTGGAGGAGGAAGGACAGAAGCTGAAAAATGTCCTGGTCTTAAGCGGTGGTGAAGGATACATTGACTTCCGGATCGGTGAGTTTCGCGGGGCACTTTTGCCG